CAAGTCGAAATGGATTATGTTTTCTCCCGAATAACTGTGAGCCCTAGATTCACCCAAAAACGGCAGCGTCACGGGAGGACATTAAGTAAAGGTTTTTACCGTGATAACGCCATGCATAAACCCTAATCTCTTCGAATTATTGTCTGCAAAAGGAACGATATCCGGAATGTGTCATGAGGAATGCCGGAAAGGGAGAGATTTTCAACTTCTGATAAGATTATTGATAACTACGCCAGAAAATAAAAACGTTCGAATTATTTTTCATTGAGCACTACTTATGTGTGCTTCTTGTAACGAGTAATATTTCAAAAAATTTTCCAGAAACGCACCTTATGAATTTCCCGACAAGCATCTTCCCTCGTCGCTACCTCTCGTCGAATCGCAGCTGCTTGTTCATCGGGGTTATCGAGCTGAAATTCTTAGTCAAAGTGCACGTAACTGGGCAGCAATTTGTGGCGCATAAGTGAGAGTTGCAAAAAAGTGGAAAAAATGAATAGAAGCCTCCATTGAATTCAAAGAAAACTGGGACTGAACCGGGTCTTTTTTGATATAAACCTCAACTCACCTGCAATGCGTTAAAGATGATTTGGTGTTCGAATTTCTTCACGCCAAGTACTTGCTGGAACATATCGTAAAGCTGCTCTTTGCCCAGAATTGCATCGGCGTTCGGCTGACCGGGAGCATTCCGCGTTCGACCCCTGGAAGGCAGATATTCAAGGGCGGACTCATTCAGAAGGCTCATACTTCAAAGACAGTGTGGGATGGGTTAGTCCTTCAAACTTTCTCGACACAACTCATAATCGTGAGACCATGGGGTACCAAGCATTAGGAAAGACCTGGTCCGTTCACAGAGATAGATTCGGATTCCCATACAAATCGAACAGCTCGCCCAAGAATAATTACCCATGATATGATTCCCAAGCCTATTGACTAGACCAGAACTATTCACTCGCTTAGTTCAACCCGACAGTGATCGTCTCATCCAAGGTGTTACTGGTAGGCTTTTCAACTTTCTCACCTCGCAGTTCGTCCTTGCGTTTCCTCGTCGCCCTTAGTAATGGTGTCGAACTTCGTCAACCAAGAAGTCAGCACTGTATCTTTAGAAAGACCTTCAATATCTGGCAGGGCACGAATGCGCTTTTCGATGTTACATCGGAACACCTCAAAATGATACAAGTAAAGAATATAAAATAAACTGATATTACAGCAAATACGGATTAATGTGTAATGGTACCTCCCGAAAGTCGTGCATGGAAAACCCTCCGGCGGCAACGACTTTTTGGACCCGTTCTGACTTTAGAAAGATCTGCAAAAAATAAAATTATTTGGAGTTTGTCGTCTTAACAAAGAGTCAATTGCTGGAATAGAAGCAGTTTCGAAATCGAAAAAGCATTACATAAAGTATAAACGATGAGGTTTCAATTGGCTGTTCCCAGTGTGTGCCCGCGCTTTCGATTTCCACTCGGAATCCTAATGCCGTTTGAATGTGAAAATATCCTCTATAATGGTTCGTGGGGATCAACTAAATGTGGTCATGCACAAGCTACGTAGCACTAGCTTCCTCACTGATCAAGGAATCCAGAAATCACGAAGAGATGGGCCTGGCTGCCCTGGAGGCTTCTCGACTTGTGCGGATTTCCGCCCAAACATCGAAGTTCCGCTCACTTCTGCTTCGATATAGAACCTTGACACCATGACCAGTCTAATATAATGACAAAGTGATTACTACCTCGAAAATCAAAGGTGCCTTCGAGAAATTTCTCCACCAGACGGCTCTTATACAACCCCTCTTCACTTCCTGGACGCTTTTCAACGCCGGGTAAAACCTACTTACTACGTACTGCTGGCAGATGACGTTCGGTTCCACTACTATCTCTACTGTCTCATCAGACCTCTCATAGTTAACTAGTATAGACCGTCACTCACCTCACAATAGCTGTGCATAGCTTTTGCGAAAGCTTCGTCAGTAGGAATATTTGTTTCACCCTTGAGAAAAGCTTGAAACCTGGAAAGAGAAGGATAATGGGTTTGTGAATACAGAATTCATGAATTGCTTACAAGGTGTTACCGTTCTTTCATACGGGCCAAATCCTGCTTGGTGACTTTTACTTGACGTCGGGCCATGTCGGTTGGTTGCTTGGCATTGAAGTGGTAGGCTACACATCGTGCCACAAAGACGTACATTTGCAGGTTTTTCTTGTGTTCTTCTTCTTCACGTTCCGCCCTGGAGAATTTAAAAAATTTAATTTTGAAAAAAAAATGAGAAAAAAACTGGAAAGAAAGCCATCTACAAAAATAAACAAAAACAACTGTTTATAAAAAGTAACTAACACCAAAAATAGCCAAAGAAAGTGATCAATAATAGAAAAAATAAACGATCAGTTCAATGAATAATCAGAAAGTTCCGAACAATTTCTTATAATTAGAAATTCACAACTCTCTTCACCTACCGTATCCGTTCTTGCTCTTCTTTGCTAAGAGTGGGTTCGTCGTTCACTAATTGTGTTGGTACATCATCTTCATAGTCATTATCGGAGATGTCCTGCGACGATTGCAGCATCGGCCGAGAGACAGTCGAAATGGTACGGGCCTTTAAACATGAATACAACGATTTCAGACCCATCAACGTTGATCCCACCCACACAGCCAGCCGGGTGGAACTCGTAGAAGAAAATCAATAAGCAGTGATAAGGAACAGTTTTTTTTTGGTATTTGACTGAAGTACAATAAACACAATCGCTGATAATGGGTGCAACCGGGCGCCAGATCGGCTCCGCTAAAACTGTTTCAGCGATATTCCAAATAGAAAAAAGTAGTCTCTTGGAGTGCGCCGTGCACCTTGACTGCGCCCGAAATCGCAGGCACGTTTCAGTACACTTAGGGGGGTTGGTGAACAATCCAGGGCAAAGAGACGGTCGACGGTGAGGTAT